ACACACTTTTTAAAGTTATGAAAGCAATTCAAATTTCAGTGTCAACTGGGTAGATTAAGGACATGCTACAATCCTCCCCCAACCCACATATACACATAGACTCTAGCATTGCCTATTAAATATAAGGTCACTAAGCTACTCCGGAACAGATGGTGTGCTGAGGGATTGGTTTCAAAGCCCAACATGGCAGGAATCAAAGTGGTAAGGCCCAGAGATACACCAGGTTCCCTGTGAGAAGTCTGCATACAGAGGTACTTGATTTGCATAATCAGTCAGAAGCAAACAGACAGAACACCAACTTAAAACATCAGTGTAATACCTGGCCAGAGCACTCACATCCCAGAGTTCAGGGGAAGACAGATGCATAAGGACCTCATCAGAAGCCTCTACAATCCAAGGCACACATGGGCAAAAAGATCCCACAATAATTTACTGATCCGCCAAATAAACCACCAGCAAGAATTAGAAGCCACGTGAGCAAATTCAGTACCCTAAAAGCATAATACTAACCCAACAAACAGAAAATGTCATGGTTGAGTTACTAAAGTTAATGGGACAATCCAAAAAGGGCTTTAAAATAAATACACTTAAAATAATACATATCTTATTCAAAATTCAAGCAAAGCAGAAATACAGAAAGTGAAAGTTTTCTCCATAATTTTAACTCCAGATAGAAACTGCTGCTCAAACTGTGGAAAACCCTCCAAGATTCAGTGATGCCTTTATACAGAGACAGACATTTTTACCTAAGTGGAAACATACTATATCTACTGTGTCATAACCTACCCTTCTCATTCCCTTTCTACTTTAAAATATTATCACATTTTCCACATAAATACATATAAGTCTCTTGTATCCTCACAAAGGAAAAATTGTATCCCATCACATTAATACAGTTTCTTTAGCCAGTGTCCCATGAATGGACATTTGGGCTAGTTTCAGTGTGTTTTCCTATAGCCATCTTTGTACATATGGATAATTATTTCCTTAGGCAAGTTCCTAGAGAAAAAATTGGTCCCAAAACTGCACACATTTAAAATTTTGATAGCGATTATCAAGCTGTCATCCAGAAAAGCTACAAGAATTTACATTATTGAATGGCTATAGATGTATGTATTTCTAGCCACAGGTTTTTTAAGGTAGGTTTCGAGTGGGTCAATTTACCAGAGATTCAATTATATACCCAAGAAAAGAGAAGATGGCTCACAACTGCACTAGCCTCTAAATGCAACAGAAGGGAAAATGTAAATGTGTTTGTACCTGTACAACATAAGTTCACATTGTCTAAGGTACAGAAGCTTCAGGGGCTGTGATGCTGCTGACATCCACAGTAATCACATTATAGTGATTTTAACTCTGTTCCCCCAGCAGCCACTGTCGTTCCCTAGTCCTCCATTTAAACAAGTGAACAAATTCTTTATGTAAGCTTTACTAAAGCCTCTAGTTTGTTCGCCTCTAAGTATGATGGCATTGTCAAAAACCCAGAATCTCCTTTCAACTTCATTTGTTGGGAATAGGTGTTCACTGTAGATGATTTGCATAAACTCAAATGAATCTGGTTTCCAATATGTGGTTTGTTCCAGAAGAAAGGCTCATTATACACACTCATTGAAGTATGTTTTCAGCAAAGCAACTATAAAGTGCTTCAGAGGCAAAGACACAAAATTTCAGGATTCACAACAATATCACATATTCAAGATAATTCAGAAACAGAATCACATCAGATTTGAACCAAATTTTTTATATTTCCAATCTCTTTACAAATAAAAGAGATACACACTAGAAATGTTTAAAGTTGCCGATTCACTCTAATGATTGTTTCTTTTGCTGTGCAGAAGCTGTGGAGTTTGATTAGGTCCCATTTGTCTATTTTGGCTTTTGTTGTCAATGCTTTTGGTGTTTTGGTCATGAAGT